TTACAAACCTGCTACCGTTAAGAAGAATCTTGAAACCGGTAGTGGTCAATCATCCGACCTGCTTTTCGAACTCTAGCTTTGTTGTAAATATGTTAAGTTGTTGTTAAAATTCTATTCAAAATTTAAAATCTACACTTTCGTTATGAATTTATTTTTCAAGTTAGGTTTTCAAAAGCTGCTTATAGTTTTGATTGCCGTTTCTCTTTCGCAGCGATGTGTGAACATCGGAAATAAAGTATAAAATGTTTTAGTTTATAACATTCATTAGCACATTAGGGCATTCTGAAGTTTTTCAGTGTGAAATTCATTAAAGATTAAAAGCAGTAAAAATAATTCAGCCAAGTTATCATAGACAATCTTGTTCAATAATAATTCTGTAATTCAGATAAAGATTCAAATAATCTTGTCTATTTAATATTTCATCCTAATTGTTCTTCAGATATAGTTTATATACGGCATTTTGATGTTTTGATCATGCAGGTTATGAAAATTGGAACTATGGCGCCCCAGCTCCCTCTAATGCAGCACCTGCAGCTCCAGGCCCGGCTCCTGCACCAGCAGTCGTCAGAGGAGGTCGAGGAGGTAGTTACACACTAATTGCTTTCAACTTTTTCACTAATTTTTAACCGTTATTTTCTATTATTCGTAGGCTTCATGTCTCATAGCCAATGTACTTAAATGAATGAACGTTGAGTTCAGTTTCTAAAAAATGGTTCCAGTTACTTTCGGAGAAGAGAATATTTTATGCAAGCTTGTCTGTCTGCGAAAGCAGTGGTACGAGTAGCGCTATTTACCCAAATAGTGAAACCGGCCTCTGTTCTGAAATGAGCCAAAATAATTTTTCATGGTGTTGTTCAAGAATATTAAGATGGCATTAGACTGCCTGACCATTAATAATATCCTGACTCTAAACTGGCATTTCGTAATAGGGTTCGTTTTATCCCTTCTTAGGTATTTGTCATATTATAGGTATTTCTGTTTTATTATTATTGAATTATTCGTCAGAATAGTAACGACTAGTATTCTTTTCTAGTTTTGAATAACTTTCTTGATTAATGATTAAAAATTGTTTAATTGTTTCATTTTTAGGATCGTTTCAATACCCTCATTGGAAGCCAACT